TTTCTGTAATCTTTTAATGAGTTCCACTTAAGTCTGGAAAATATTTATACTCAAAAATATGTAGGCAAGAAAATTTAGTGTTTTTCATTTTCTGAACTCTGTTTTGCTTGTAATTCTCCTGAGTAACTACTCCTTGGATAACTCCTGTAACATATCCAGATGCTTATGAAGCATATCCAAAGTTTTTGTAGCTATAGATATACATGCAGAAAGAGTGGAGTCTTAAGTAGAAGTCTCAGCCAGTAATGCAGATGTACATATGTTCCTGCTTTCCTTTCAGCCCTTGATTGAAAGTAAGTTTGTTCAGGCTTTTAGACAAATTGACTGTCTGTAGTCAGGTCTGGCCAAACTTCAGCATCACTAGTCAAACTTCAGAGAAACTCAAGTCCTTAGGAAATATGAAAATGTTGTTTTTGGTCCTGGAAGTAGAGCTTCAGAGAGCCTAATGTATGAACGCTTGATTTTTCCTGACCAGTTTCGGGGATTTAGTAACATTCATCTCTCTTCCCCAACTGTCCGTGGCTTCTTTCTGGCGTAGCAGATTTTTATGCAAGGAATGGGTGGGTCCATTCTCTCACTTGTGACCTGGGGAATCTATTAACCCTGTCTATAGCATCAGGTTTTCTGTGAGGGGAATCCTGTTCTTTCCATTTTTCCAATACAACCTAAGACTTGCTCGTCTTCAGGAGGCAAGCCTATAGGACATAGGAGCCAGTCACTGGACCGTTCCTTTACTTCCTTAAGGCTATAAGGATAGAGGAAACACAGCTGTTGAAGGCAGGTCTTCTGATGACCGAAACAGATTGTGATTATTTTGTGTTTACTTAGTTGATGGTACATTGTGAGCCTGTTAGACACATACACAAGTCTGTAGCTATTCCACGTTTAGGCCCTGATTCAGTAAAGTATTTGAGCACGTGCTCAACATTAAGCCCAAGAGCAACTCCCTTGGAGGCCCTGGTGAATGGATGCCTAATGTGGGTATGTTGATAACCATAATGATTTTTTCCCCTAGCTTGGATAAGAGGGTAGGGGGTGGGGGAATACAGATAAAAAGAGAAAAAGAAGCTATATGGGGTAAGTTCGGTCAGAACAATGAGTACATTTAAAGTGGATTTAATTTCACAAGGCTTCCTCTCCATCTTTAGCTATAAAAAGGCTGAAGTTCATCCAGTGATGAATTCTAAGTAGAAATGGCAACTTCAGATTGCTTGTCCTTGAGTTTACAGGCAATTTTTGACAAAGGTTGAAGTCAGGCCTCTCCTTAGCAGATGATCCTTGAGATTTCTGTGGTACAGTGGAAAGAGGCATTTCTTTCTATGGTCTGGACAGCTCTGCAGGCTGCCAAAAGAATTCTCTCAAAAAGGAATAGCGAGGCGGTCAGGCAGTTATTGATAAGAATATGGGGGCAACCGAGGAGGTCAGAGCTTATGGGTCTCCTACTGTGACAATCTGCAGAGAATTGCAAGTCTGGAGAAACCACTCCAGTTCTCATTAGAAAATCTCACAAAAAAGCTTTAAAAAGAGGGAAGGCATTAAAAAAAAGAAAGAATACTTACAATTCTTTGTAAAGCTTTTTTTATGGGAACCTACATTTGCCATGAATTTGAATGAAAAAATGTTAATGGGTATCTGTGATTCTACAGATTTAATGTTCAGAATTCCTTCAGTTTGAACATGTGATTCCCGCCCCCCACCCTCTGGCCAATGTATAGTTCTAAGCACAAGCTGAAGATAGCTCACTAATCAGAAGAATTTCAACAGAATGACTAATGAGTTTTTTCCAGTTCATGCAGATTTGTAGGGTCGGGGAAGATGCATTATTTTCACCCAAAAAATAGAGTATCGAGACTTGGGTATTAATCTCCTTAAAGCTCTAACTGTTTTTATGCTGACTGTTGTATACAAAGTGAAATGTTTGGTTCTGAAAAATATTTTGAAGGCATTCCAACTTTTATTATTAACACAGAATTGCTAGAAGTCGATACGAAAAACAGAAATATATGGCTTCCAAGAATAGCAGCCTTAGGCTTGTTTTTATGACAAAGGTCATATGGACTACATGGACAGCAAAGTCAAAACTCATGGCATTGGTTCTTTAAAGCAAGATATAGCTGTATAGCTTCTGCAGCTTCTTTATAGTTAGATGTTGTGGCACAAAACCTCTTTTATTTAGTATGAACCTTTTTATGTCTTCCAACATTTTCCATTCTCAGTCATCTCCAATTACAGCAGAGCACAGATCAGAATCCAGCTGTTGAGGTTACTGTTTGTGCTGGGGGTGGGGAGGGGACTTTGAGCTGTGACCAAAGGCTGATTTGTAATTACTTGGGTATAATGATGATAATGGAGCTTAATATCTGTAACATGTGCATAGAGGAGGGTTTTTGTTGTTGTTTTTGGTTTTAAAATTTTTCCCCTCTGCACGTTAGATCACATTTCTTTCTTAGAAGTCAGTTCGCTTTTTACTAGCTGCAGCATTACAGAGATAATGGTATGATGGGTGACATAATGAAGTGAGTGTTCATTGGAAGAAAAAAAAAGTAAATAATGCACATGAGGCAGTATATTTAAAAAGCAGTTTTGAGCAGCACTGGAGAAAGTTTCATTCACAGAAGGTTCTTCTGAGTGAGAAAGGGAAATATAAGAAATAACAAACAAGAAATGATGTTATTCCCCACTCTTCCTGCTTCCTTTTGGTACAGGGGATGAAAGTGCAGGCTTTCTTTGACTCCTGAAACTGAGTTGAAAGGTTGACTCCTAGGCTTCTGGGCTCAGCAGCTAGAAGGACCATGATAGCTCCTCTTAGGATCAATATAGGAGTTATGCTTTAGCTTAATTACTGTGGATGTTTAAATATCAAAGCCCAAGGCTGAAATTTGGAAGAAAAGATTCTCCCAGAGAATTTTGTCTACATTGTGCACACGTTTTTTGCTTATCTCTGCATGGATTGTACCCGTTGCCTGTTGTTCAGAACCCTGATCGGAGCAGTCAAGACAGTTATTCCTGGTGTCGCTGATTTAGTTACAGCTGCTTCCTCTTCATGTGATTTAATTTGAAGTTTCAGCCCACCAGGGGGCTAATGGTCCCCACCTATGCAGCTTTAAGTGCTGGCTGTTGTTTTCCACGTGAATGTTATTTCCATTCCTATTCATAGCGATTCTTTCTTCATGTTCATCTGGCAACAGCAAGGCAGAGTTCCAGAAGCTCTCTTCACAGGGCAAAAACATGGAATCATTTAGATGGAAAAAAATATAAATGAAAATCACTCTGTTTGCTTTAAAATATTCACTTTGTTGTTTTGGTGCATGTCAGCAATGGAAAAAGATTGGCTAATATCCTGCTTTTAAAACCCATTTAAGATTTTCTTTGTAAATTTTAATAGTTACACAATTCATTTATTTCTTCCTGGTTGCACCAGATAATATTATGATTTTATCATTTAATAATCAGGCAAGTAAACCTCTATACTTTTAATGGCTTAATTTCACACTGCATGGTGCGAAATAAAATGCTAAAAATATTAGCAGGTACTGCAAGACAGTGAGTATATGTACATATGTACACACTTGAACAATACAGAACTCTAAATAGATCTGAGAATAAGTGTACCAGTGCTATACTAGATGCTATACCGAGCATATCTAAAATGCTAATGAGTGATGACTGTATAGCAGTAACAATTGAAGTTAAGGAGCAAAAAGGTTAATTTAGCTTTTTCATAGGTTTTGATGCTATTAGCTTTTAATAAGTGGACAAGGAATGTGTACAGATGACACTGAAGGATTTTTTATAAGGTACTTTTTGTTAGTGCCTGCCTGTACACTGGTATAGAGGACTGTGTTCCCATGGAAAACTCAGTGTTGTAGGAGAATTTTGAATGTCTTGCATTAGAAAAAAGGAATCGGAACTCATGGTAGAGGTGATATCTTTTATTAAACCAACTAGATTTTTGCACAAAAAATTATTTTTTGTTGTTGTTCTGATTCCTTTTGCCTCTAGACCAATAAGACTACAACCTGAAGGGAGACGCTTGCAAAGCAGACTCATGTTGCATTTGCTAGCTGGAATTGTGGGTATGACTGCCCCCCCTACCTCCACCACCACAATTTACCTCCTAGAGTAGAAACCGAAATCTACATCAGTAGCTTCTTCTTTAAAATAAATTTTTACATTAGGGAAAGGATGGAAGGTGGAATACCCTGATGGAATTGGCCCATATTAAATCTCATTTATTTCAGCTATTATTAAAGAGCGGTGCAATCTTTCCCCTCTTTGGACCGGAGGATGCTATTACCAGATTTTGGCATTCAAGGTCAAGGCACTTTACAATACAAAGCAAATATACTACTTTCTACAGCCCGATTGATGGAAAATACTAACTGCTAGGAAGCAGCTTTTCCAACACTGCTACTTAACCATATTGCAGTGATTGTCCTTTTTAAGCCAATAATTTTAGTACAGTGTTGCTAATAGTGTAATTTAAAGAAGTCAGGTTTCAATAGATATTCTGCAACAATTGATAATTGCCATTTTGGCAACTGGCTTGTTATAGCCTTAACTACTTTAGGCCCATACAGATTATTAACTAACCAGTTAGTTGGTTTAGTGTTAGTAATGGCTATTAGGATCGACTGATTACTTGAGTAGTAGTGCTTGTGGTGGTTAATCAAGTAGATAACCTCAAAAATGGGAGTTCAGTATTGGTCCTGACAGAGTTGCTGTTGAGGCAAGACGGTATTAGTCATTGGCTGTGAATGTTAATCACTCCACAGCAATGATAATTTACAGCATTGTTGTAGAACTCTGGTGCTCATAAAATGAACTTAATAACCCACTGCTACCCATGGGATAAGCCTCTTTTTTCTCCTGCAATTGAATACCCAGCCTGGCTGCATAATAGTCTTGTGAAATACTGCGTTAAAAAGGGTGAGCAGCTGTATGATAAAATAAACAGCTCTAAAACAGATTTGTTAATTATCTCCTCCTTTTATTCACAGAGGGTGTTTGTGAGATATGGCTGACCAGTGAAGACACAGGGGCTTATGGCAGAGACATTGGCACAGATCTCCCTACACTTCTGTGGAAGCTGGTTGAGGTTATTCCTGAGGGAGCTATGTTGAGACTTGGCATGACAAACCCCCCCTATATTTTGGAGCATCTGGAGGTAAGGAAAAAGGAGAATCATTTGCATTTTAACATAGCTGTTAACTAATCAAGTCAGTGTGGTATCCGGTGTAGTGTCAGTAACTTTTGCAGTCACAAATTACAAATATATTTATCAAATTAGACTTTTAACTTTAAGTCACTTGCCTGACAAAGGTGGCTATCCAATCAATCAAACATACACTTTTCTTTTTAACTGCAGAGTGTGAGTTTGAAGGTAGTGCTGTCAGAGTTTTGCTTGCAGGTCCAGCTTTTTAATATATAGTGGAAGTGGTCAGACCAAACTATGGATTCTGAGTCAAAATTTTCCTCCTGTACACACAAAGATGCTGTCCGAAAACTTTGTCTTCATTTCTTTGTTCATAATATGAAGTCTAGCCTGCATTTCTTGTGGGGACTTAGTATGAGCATGCTTTGCTGTAAATAATTCCTATAAATAGTTTCATGAGCAGGACATCTATGTGCTCTTTCTCCCCAGGGGGAGATGGCAGTCTGGGTCTGGCAGCAGAGCCTGGAGATTGTTCCCTGACTAGTTCTCTGTGACATGGTTTAATTTTATTGGGCAGGTGTTGTCCCCTAGTTAATACTATACTTTTTTTTTTAACTGTCTTGTTGCAAGAGTGGTTGTTTGTGCCTGAGGAGGAAGAGTGACACCGAGAAAGCTGGAGGTAGGAAAAAAAGGGGCACTAGGGAGGACAGAGAGCTAGAGAAAAGGTAGTCCCAGTCAGGAGAGAGGAAACAGAGAGAGAGACAGAGAGTAGTCGTCCCAGGGAGGACAGAGGGAACTGCTGTGGCATATTAAATCTTTGGAGCTGAACCATTTGCTGTCCTGTTTGGGACATTGACACTCTGACCCCCTAATGCCCCCTGCTCCTCCCCCTTTGAAGAAGAAAGCACCTCCCTTCCCAGGCACTGACCAAAAAGGAGCTCTCTATCCATGGTGATCTATCATGGATCGTGGGGGGAGCTAGATTTCAAAGCTAGATGTTTGACTCCTGTGAAGCCATGCCAGGGCTGGCTTCAGGGGGTCCTTCAGGAGAGGGAGACCAGATAAGGTTGTTTCTTGGGGGAGTCCTTAGGCAGAGTTTCCTGTCAGAAGTGCCATTGCTTCATGACATTGGACTGTCTTGCACGTTCAGCTTTCCTTTAATAGCTAGTAGAAGTGATCATATCAGACTGTGGATCCTGAGTTAAAATTGTCCTCCCTCTGTAGCTGGAAAAATGCCCTCAGAAAAACTTATCTGCTGTCTGGGTTCAAAATCTGACAAAAACCAGGAAGAAGAATAAAAGTTAAGTCACGCTTTGTGTCCAGGGCTTCCATACAAATAAATGGGAGCCTTAGATGTTTAGCAAGAAAATGTTTTTTAACAAACTGTATGAAGTAAAATAGAAGCAGTGCTGAATGTTGAGGACTTACAATGAACAGCAATTATACAGGTAGCAGGAGCAGAGGGAATTCTCTAAAGAATTGCTTTGTTTGGTGGCCAAATGAATGTATTGAATCTCGTGTGAATTGGTCATGAAAAAGCCTAAACATAAAGGAAAAAAAACACAGATGAGACAAGATTGGGGAGGATTTATGGCCTGATATATCATTAATATTTGGGGTGCAGCTATCCGTGTATGAAAATAAAATACCTGTTGCCCATTCGGCACTTCCTAACATATTGCATACTAAGTATTGGTCACCTGGGATTCCTCAAGGTACTGAGATCAGTGTTGTTTGAAAGCTGTGCCCAGTCAGTTTTCTAAAGTCCAGAGAAATGAGGAGTGAGTTTCTACTTCCATTACTAAAAAAAGTAAGCAAATAGGCATGATCTTCAGAGAAGTGTCTGATATCCAGTAGAACCAGAATGAATGGTTCTGTAGCCTAAGAACAATAGAGGCTAGTAGCACATGAAAGTTGGCAACCATAACTCACAGATTACGGTAAAATCTGTGTTAACTGTCACTATCTGGAATACTCTATTAACCAGAATTGCTGGCCAGATGCTGGGGGCGGGGGGGAGCTCAAACACAGCAGCCACTGCCGCTACCCACCACCCTGTACTGTTGCTGCTCTGTATGTGGCCGCCACCAGCTCCACAGGGGTTTTCAAAAAGGTAGAAAACCCCTGCCTCAGATAACCAGAGCTTTTGGATACTTGGCACTCCCGTTACCCAACTCATGCTGGTTAACACGGCTTTTACTGTACTCTGCACTCAGGTACTTAATTTATAATTATGATTGAAGGTGCTACTATGTCACAGAAAACAAGGAGAAGCATTAGCTGTCTAAGCAATCAGTTTGGGAAGTCAGAGACCCCCTAGAATTGCCAGTTCATTTTCCAGGAGGGTCAGCTAGGCCTTTTGTCTTTTTTTGTCTTTAAGACGTAATACTACCATGAAGCTGTGGAACAAGACCCTAAAATGACTTCTGGTTTATGAGAGGGGCAAGGATTTTCTGTGGTATCTTTTACTGGACCAACTGTATAGTTGGGAGAACTATTAGACAAACTTTCATTCATCAGATGCCCTTATTCAGGTCCGAGCTGATTTGTGAAAATCTTAAAGACCCTTGGCACTTTTCATAAGAGCAGGGACTTGCATTTCTTTTTCTGGCCAAAATCTTCTGCCTTAGCAGTTTGCTGTATGCCGGTGGGTTGCTTCCCATATTAGAGGTAACTGTGTTTAAGTGCTGGTGTTAGGTATATGATAGGTAGACTCCAGGATGAACATGAGTCGTCAGTGTGATGAAGCCATCAGAAAAGCTAATGGCACTTTATCATGCATCAGCAGATGCATGACGAACAGATCCAAGGAGGTGATACTCCCCCTCTATCAGGCGCTGGTCAGACCGCAGTTGGAATACTGCGTGCAATTCTGGGCGCCGCACTTCAAGAGAGATGTGGATAACCTGGAGAGGGTCCAGAGAAGGGCCACTCGTGTGGTTAAGGGCTTGCAGGCCAAGCCCTATGAGGAGAGACTGGGGCACCTGGACCTCTTCAGCCTCCGCAAGAGAAGGTTGAGAGGCGACCTTGTGGCTGCCTATAAGTTCATCACGGGGGCACAGAAGGGAATTGGAGAAGTTTTATTCACCAAGGCGCCCCCGGGGGTTACAAGAAATAATGGCCACAAGCTAGCAGAGAGCAGATTTAGACTGGACATTAAGAAGAACTTCTTTACAGTTAGAGTGGCCAAGGTCTGGAATGGGCTCCCAAGGGAGGTGGTGCTCTCCCCTACCCTGGGGGTCTTCAAGAGGAGGTAGATGGGCATCTAGGTGGGGTCACCTAAAGCCAGCACTCTTTCCTGCCTATGCAGGGGGTCGGACTCAATGATCTATTGTGGTCCCTTCCGACCCTAGAATCTATGAATCTATGAATTTATGAAGAACTCTGAAGTTTTAGAGGACAAAAACTTGGCAAGATTCAATATTAATTGCACATTTGTGTGGAGAACAAGAATATCCAAAGTGCCTTGAAATTTTTTGGGATAAACCTTGTGTTTCACGGGTAAGCCAATCTGATACAAGG